CATCTCTTTGATATCATCACCCAGTACCGTGCCATCTTCTCAGACGAGGACCCACTGCTGCCCCCTGTCATGGGTGAGCACACTGTGAATGAGAGTGCCATCTTCCATGGCTGGGTGCTACAGAAAGTCTCACAGTTCCTGCAGGTGCTGGAGACTGACCTTTACCGGGGCATAGGTAGCCGCCTGGACTCTCTGCTGGGCCAGTGCATGTACTTTGGGCTGTCCTTCAGCCGGGTGGGAGCTGATTTCCGGGGCCAGTTAGCTCCTGTTTTCCAGCGGGTGGCCATCCACACTTTCCAGAAAGCAATTCAACAAACAGTGGAGAAATTCCAGGATGAAATGAACTCCTACACTCTCATCTCAGCTCCAGCCATCCTGGGCAGCAGTAACATGCCTGCTGCTGTGCCAGCCACTCAGCCAGGGACACTGCAGCCACCGATGGTGCTCCTAGATTTCCCCCCCCTCGCCTGCTTCCTCAACAATATTCTGGTCGCCTTCAATGATCTGCGTCTCTGCTGCCCTGTAGCCCTGGCACAGGACGTGACTGGGGCCTTGGAAGATGCCCTTGCCAAGGTGAGCACATTCTGTTGATTTTCTGCTACCCTGGGCCGCCTTTGGTAATGGGTGGCCAGATTTTTGTAATAACAAAGTCTGGTGCCTGCTGACATGGAGAGGTCTAGTGTGGTTTTAGAGGTTCTTCTGGTTGAGAAGCTCTGGCCAGTTGCCCTTCATGGGACCTAGGACAGTTCATGAAGTGGCGCACCTGTAGTAACAATTCAGTAATGCATGTATTACCTTTCTAGTGCTGTGTAATAAATCACACAAACTTAGTAGCTTCCAGCAACACATTTATTACCTCCCGGTTTTGGTGGGTCAGGAGTCCAGGCACAGTGCAACAGGGTCCTCCCTGCTCAGGGTTTTACTGGGTTGCCATCAAGGTGTTGGCTGGCCTATGGTCTCATCTGGAGGTTGGGGCTCCATTTCAAACTTGTTCGAGTTAGCAGGGGTCTGTTGCTTGCAATTATAGAACTGAAGCCTTAGCTTCTAGAGGCTGTCCACTCAATAGGCAACTGACAACATGGTTGTTTGCTTTCTCAAGGCCGGCAGGAGAGCTTCTCTCTTGCTTGAGTCTCTTCTTTTAGGTACCTCCTTTTAAAAGGTTCATTGGATTAAGTCAGATGATTAGGGACTTTAATTACATCTGCAAAACCCTTCACCTTTGGCATATTCTTTTTTAATTTTTACTTAAAAATATGTTTTATTTAATTAATTATTTATTTGTTGAGGTGGAGTCTCACACTGATGCCCAGGCTGAAATGCAGTGGCACGATCTCAGCTCACTGTAACCTTTGCCTCCCAGGTTTAAGTGATTATTCTGCCTCAGCCTCCCGAGTAGCTGGGATTATAGGCATGTGCCACCACCCCTGGCTGATTTGTATTTTTAGTAAAGGCGGGCTTTCTCCATGTTGGTCAACTGTTCTCAAACTCCCTACCTCAGGTGATCCACCTGCCTCAGCCTCCCAAAGTGCAGGGATTACAGGCATGAGCCACCTTACCCAGCCAAATTTTTTTATTTTATAGAGAGATAGTGTCTCTCTATGTTGCCTGGGCTGGTCTTAAACTCCTGGACTCAAGTGATCCTCCTGCTTCTGTCCCTCAAATGCTGGGATTACCGGTGTGAGTCACTTGAACCCAGAAGGTCCAGCACTAGAGACTGTGTTCTTACCCTGTTGCTGTGCCATATGTCTGTAATGTCAGCTAGGCTGCTGTTGGTTTTGGTGCTGAGACCAGCTCAGCTGTGGAGACCCCAATGCATTCGGTGCTGAAGGAATTAAGAAACAGACACAGAGATAGAAATTAGGCCAGGTGTGGTGGCTCACTCCTGTAATCCCAGCACTTTGGAGGCCGAGGCTGGTGGATCACCTGAGGTTGGGAGTTTGAGACCAGCCTGACCAACATGGAGAAACCCTGTCTCTTTAAAAAAAAAAAAAAAGAAAAAAGAAGAAGTAGTAAAAGGTGGGTTCAGAGTGTGCAGCATCAGGGGTCTCACAGCATTTCCAGCTGAGAGCTGAGAGCAGACTCTGACCCATGTATTTATTTATTACATTCCAGAGACAAGTTTTACAAGCGGATGCTCTGTGTTCTTTCACTGGTTAAAGATAAACTAATGAGGCAGCTAGTGAATGTTTACTATAGGTTAAAGATAAACTAGAAAGCATACTTTACGAGGGAACAAAGGAAAGAGTCACATGTCCTGTGTTAAAAAAAAAAAGACTAGTTCATCTGGTGTGAGACATATTCATATTGGTTACTGTTTTTTAATACTTTGAGCAGTTTTCCGCTTTGGGGGGCAGACTGGGCTTTCCTTGCTGCTGCCCTCAGTAAACAATATGATATATCACACATGTCAGAATTTACTCTCAACATTTGGAACCTCACTTTCGTAGCTGTTTTCTTACAGTTTTCCAGTGGTTTCAGCTTTCTGGGGCCTCAGGGGCCTTAGTAGAAACCTTGTATAGTTTTGCTTCATTTTCCTGTGCTTCAGCGCAGTTACGTGCTCATGGTGGATCCTCCGTGGAAGTCAAGAACCATGTATTGGGCCAGGTGCAGTGGCGCATGCCTGTAATGCCAACACTTTGAGAGGCTGAGGCAGGAGGATCTATGAAGACAGGAGCTCTAGACCAGCCTGGGCAACAAAGCAATACCCTATCTCTAGAAAAAATTGTAAAACTTAGCCAGGCATGATGGTGCACCCCTGTAGTCCCAGGTACTTGAGAGGCTAAGGTGGGAGTATCAAATTCCTTGAGCCCAAGAATTTGATGCTACAATGAGCCTTGATTGTGCCATTGCACTCCAGCATAGGTGACAGAGCAAAATCCTGTCTCTAAAAACAAAACTATGTATTTTCTATAATTCTATGACACTTCTCCATTGGAACTGGAAACTACACCTGTAATGTAACAAGTTGGGTCTGAACTTTACATCAGTGAAGTAACAGAATTGTGGAGATTAACCATAATTCTGAGTTTAAATGAGATAGTAATATAATGTACTGTGTTAAATTACTTTGTTCAGGAAAACTTGAGGGCTACACCTTTATTTTTTTTTATTTTTTTTTTTTTGAGACGGAGTTTCACTCATGTTACCCAGGCTGGAGTGCAATGGCGCCATCTCGGCTCACCGCAACCTCCGTCTCCTGGGTTCAGGCAATTCTCCTGCCTCAGCCTCCTGAGTAGCTGGGATTACAGGCACGCACCACCATGCCCAGCTAATTTTTTGTATTTTTAGTAGAGATGGGGTTTCACCATGTTGACCAGGATGGTCTCGATCTCTTGACCTCGTGATCCACCCGCCTCGGCCTCCCAAAGTGCTGGGATTACAGGCTTGAGCCACCGCGCCCGGCCTTTTTTTTTTTTTTTTTTTTTTGGCCTAGTTTCATGCACTGCCAGTGGTGATAAGCTGTCCCAGTGATTGACGGTGCCCTTGTCTCTTAGGTAACCAAAATAATCCTGGCCTTTCATCGTGCTGAAGAGGCTGCCTTCAGCAGCGGGGAGCAAGAGCTCTTCGTCCAGTTCTGCACTGTCTTCCTGGAAGACCTCGTTCCATATTTAAATCGCTGTCTCCAGGTCCTTTTTCCACCAGCTCAGATAGCACAGACTTTAGGTAAGAAAAAGGAGAATTTTGTAAACTGCCCTACTGATGTGTATTTGAGATACTAAATAATTCACCCAGTTGTGTCAGTGTTTTTTAGTAAATGTGTCCAATTTTAGAACATTTCCATCGCTCCAGAAAGATCCTTCATACACATTGGTGTCATTCTTCGACAGCATCCTTAGCCCCTGGCAGCCTACTTTCTGTTGCTATAGATTTTCCTTTTCTGGACATTTCATAGAAATGGAATCATACATTATGTGGCTGTATCTGGCTAAATGGAAGAAGCCAGTTACAAAATAACCACGTATGTATGATTCCATTTCTATGAAATGTCCAGAGAAAGGGTTTTGTTTTGTTTTTAGAAAGTATTTTTAAAGTCTTTTTTCCAATTCACTTTCACGTCCTCGTCCCCTTGTGATGGGAGAGGGGCTTGGTTCAGGCGCAGCTTCCCAAAGGGCAGTGGGTCAGTACATCACACCTGCGAAGCCTGGCTGCCCTCCTCTTTATCGTTGGTGCTGCCTGAGGTTGCTGCTGCCCCTGCCCAGCGTTGCTGCTGCTTCTGCTTCACAGTATAGCTTCCCGTTCCCTATGACAAAGGTGGTTTTTGCTGTATTGAACTATAGCCGGCTGCGGTGGCAAACGCCCGTAATCCCAGCACTTTGTGAGGCTGAGGCGAGTGGATCACCTGAGGTTGGGAGTTTGAGACCAGCCTGGATAACATAGTGAAACCGTGTCTACTAAAAATACAAACATTAGCTGGGCTGGTAGCAGGTGCCTGTAATCCCAGCTACCACGGAAGCAGGAGAATCGCTTGAACCCGGGAGGCAGAGGCTGACATACTAAATAATTCACCCATTTGTATTAAGTCAGTGGGCTGAGATCTCACCACTTCACTCCAGCCTGGGTGCCTAGAGTGAGACACTCAAAAAAAAAAAAAATATATATATATATAGTAATTGCTTTTTTCCTCTTGTTCTTTCCCTTTTTCTTTTAATTTCTATGTTGAATTTTATCAATAACTTTTTTCCATTTTGCTTTCCCTGTGGTCCGGGTCAGGCATTCCTCCCACTCAGCTCTCCAAGTACGGAAACATCGGGCGTGTGAACATCGGCGCCATTCAGGAGCCCCTCGCCTTTATCCTGCCAAAGAGAGAGACGCTCTTCGCCCTGGATGACCAGGCGCTGGGGCCCGAGCTCACAGCTCCAACACCAGAGCCACCCGCCGAGGAGCCACGCCTGGAGCCCGCGGGCCCGGCCTGTCCGGAGGGAGGGCGAGCGGAAGCGGAGGCGGAACTGCCCCGTGTGGAGCCCTAGCCAGCGTCCCCCTGCCTCCAGCACGCGGTGCGTATGGCTCCCAGCGCGGGGCAGCCACGGCTGCCTCGCCCAGGAAGGCCAAGGGCGGACTCGGGAGGCAGGAAGGCGCTCCCGGAGGACAGCGGAAGGGGCGGTGCTCAGGCCGGGTCTGGGCGTGAAGACGGGGATCCTGCCGCGCGGCCTTGCTGTGCGCGCTCTGACGGCACTTCCCGGCGTGCCCCGCGCTGCAGCCGGAAGAGGCGGGCCTGGTTCCTGCTGCTGGGGTCGCCATGTCCCGCATGTTGGGTGCGCTGCTTCTTCGGCGGCTATGGGTCCCCGTGGCCTGGGGAAGGGCAGCAGCCGGTGGTTCCCGAGCTTGCAGCTCCAAGGCCGCCCGTGACGGCGTCGAGGGTCCGGTGCTCCGGCGCTCCTACTGGCGTCACCTGAGGCGCCTGGTGCGGGGGCCGCCTGAACCGCCGTTCCTGCACGTGTGCCAGGTCGGGGACCCGGTGCTCCGCGGCGTGGCGGCCCCGGTGGAGCGGGAGCAGCTGGGAGGGCCCGAGCTGCAGCGGCTGGCGCAGCGGCTGGTGCAGGTGATGCGGCGGCAGCACTGCGTGGGCCTGAGCGCCCCGCAGCTGGGGGTGCCGCGGCAGGTGCTGGCGCTGGAGCTCACCCAGGCGCTGTGTCAGAAGACCCCGCCGCGCCAGCGCGCGCTTCGCCAGATGGAGCCTTTCCCTTTGCGCGTGTTCGTGAACCCCAGCCTGCGGGTGCTGGACAGCCGCCTGGTCACCTTCCCCGAGGGCTGCGAGAGCGTCGCTGGCTTCCTGGCCTGCGTGCCCCGCTTCCAGGCGGTGGAAATCTCAGGTGCTGGCGGTGGGGGCCGGGGCAACAGGAGCAGCGCGGGCGTCTCTTCGCCTGGCTCCGGCGATAGCCCAGAAGCTGTTGCGGTTCATCTGCTGGGCCTCCCGCAGGAAAGAATTGGGACGCGGGAGCGGACGGGCCTTAGGAAGGATAGAAGCTCCTGTGGGACAGATCCGGCTCAGATAGGATGCGGGGGCGAGGAGGGGACCCTTAATTCCTCTGTTACTTGACCCCGGGCCTCTGCTTTCTGCTCCCTTACTCTCTGACCAAATACTCTTCAGCCCCAGTTAGATCCGCCACGGCGCAGTTGGAGAAGTTGGGGTTAGCACCCCAGCTTGACCCAGCCCAGTGGGGTAAGCCATTCTCCCCGTGGTACCACTGGATGTCTCGCGGAATGCGGGCTGTGCTGGGGTCGGGGTGATTGTTCCTGGTTCAGGAGAGTCAGAAGAACTGGGGTCTCAAGCTACAGAACCTCTATTAGGAGTTGAGAGCCCACAGATATCTCAGAAGCCGTGGGGGGGCGGGTTAGAAGGGTCGCACCATTGGAAGATGATTTCTCATCTCAGCTCTACAGTGAATTTGATAACCTAATTACCATAATTGGGAACCAGGTTGAACACTTGGTAATGGGCCAAGTTGAGGTATCTTTTCCAGTTAGGAGAGGATCTGTTGCCTGTATTTGCCTTCTGCTGTTGCTTCTTGTCCATGGGAACAGCCAGGGCTCGGGGCACGGGTAAGGAGGTTGAGGATGATGCTGTTCACCTGTTCCCACTCACGATGCCTGTAACTTCCTTTGCAGGGCTGAACCCCAATGGAGAACAGGTGGTGTGGCAGGCAAGCGGGTGGGCAGCCCGCATCATCCAGCACGAGATGGACCACCTGCAGGGCTGCCTGTTCATTGACAGAATGGACAGCAGGACATTCACAAACATCTGTTGGATGGAGGTGAATGACTAAAGCTTTTTACTGGGGCTGAGGATTCCTGAGACCAAGATGCAAACACTGCCACTTTTAGCTGGGCACATCTTACTTGGCATCAACTTGGATGACTTGGCCGTGACAGGAAAGTGGACTGCCAAGGCACGCCAGACTGAGCTGGAGGAAGATGTCAGAAATGTTTACCCTGAAATCAGTTATGGACGAAGTGTTGCCTACAACTTGAGGAGAAAAATCACCCCCAAAGGAGTGGTCGTTTCCTGACAATTCTGTTTGGAGATAGGTGGGGTAACTGCATTCGTCTGCGGTAGACGTGAGTTCCTTGGACCTGTATAATCTCCCAAAGCCAAGATTTGGTAATGTAGTCTCCAAATACCTGAAAGCTGTCTTTAAAAATGCAGGTAAGCGTGACTGGCCATTTGTGCTGAGTTCTTATTTTTACAGAGGGCTTGTGGCTTTGGTTGACCTTGGATGCCAGTTTGCTTATAGAAATAAAACAGGGCAGGATAGTCCCTGCTCAAGGAAGTGTTTACTGACAGCACGAGTGTAAATAAGTGTCCACACATTTTAACAGTCTTGGGCAAGATTTTGCTGCTGAGATCTCTAGAGCAGCTGGTTCTTGGTTTATTCTTGGGGTAGATGCCATGGATCAGGGCTGGGTGCAGGGGTAACAATTGAGAAGTGGAGTAAGCCCTTTCCTCTTACCAATTGGGACAGACAAAAAAGCAGAACTAGTACTCCTTGGTCATACACTTATTTTGGAAAAGTGAATTAACATCACATCAACCAATGTAGATTTAAGAAAATGTTGCCAGCACAATGGTTCACACCTGTCATTCCAACACTTTGGGAAGCCAAGGTGGGTGGATCACAAGGTCAGGAGTTCCAGACCAGCCTAGCCAACATGGTGAAACCTGGTCTGTACTGAAAATACAAGGCCGGGCGTGGTGGCTCACGCCTGTAATCCAACCACTTTGGAGGCCAAGGGGGGCAGGTCACCTGAGGTCAGGAGTTCAAGACCAGCCTGACCAACATGGTGAAACCCCGTCTTAAAAAAAAAAAAGAAAATACAAAAAATTAGCTGGGCATGGTGGCACGCCCCTGTAATCCCAACTACTCAGGAGGCTTGAAGTAGGAGAATTGCTTGAACCTGGGTGGTGGAAATTGCAGTGAGCTGAGATTTCGCTACAGCACTCCAGCCTGGGCAACACAGCAAGACTTCGTCTCAAAAAAAAAAAAAAAAAAGTGTCAGCTTTGTCAAGAGGTTAAGGAATTCCAGTTTTATTCCTTGTTTTTTCTTCTCTTTCCTTTCCTTTTTTTTTTTTTTTGAGGTGGAGTCTCCTTCTTTTACTATCTTGGTCAGGCTAGTCTTGAACTCCTGACATTGTGATCTACCCGTCTCAGCTTCCCAAAGTGCTGGGATTACAGGCGTGAGCCACCACACCTGGCATATGTATTTTTAGTAGATACAGGGTTCACCATGTTGGCCAAGGATGGTCTTGATCTCTTGACCTTGTGATCCACCCACCTCAGCCACCCAAAGTGCTGGGATTACAGGAGTAAGCCACTGTGCCCAGACTATTTATTTTTGAGACAGTGTCTCACTCTGTTGCCCGGGCTGGCTCACTGCAACCTTGGCCTTCCAGGTTCAAGCGGTTCTTTGCCTCAGCCTCCCAAGTAGCTGGGGCTACAGGGCTGTGCCACCACACCCGGCTAATTGTTTTTGTATTTTTAGTAGAGATGGGGCTTCACCTATTGGCCAGTCTGGTCTCAAATTCCTGACCTCATGATCTGCCCGCCTAGGACTCCCAAAGTGCTGGGATTACAGGTGTGAGCCAACATGCTCAGCCTCTTTTATCATTATTATTATTATTATTTATTTTTGAGATGGAGTCTTGCTGTGTCACCAGGCTGGAGTGCAGTGATACAATCTCGGCTCACTGCAACCTCTGCCTCCTGGGTGCAAGCAATTCTTCTGCCTCAGCCTCCCAAGTAGCTGGGACCACAGGCACGTGCCACCACGGCCGGCTAATTTTTTTGTTTTTTTTTGTATTTTTAGTAGAGACGGGGTTTCACTATGTTGGCCAGGATGGTCTCGATTTCTTGACCTCGTGATCCGCCCGCCTCGGCCTCACAAAGTGCTGGGATTACAGGCGTGTGCCACTGCGCCTGGCCCTTTTATTATTTTTTAAGAGGAGACGGGGTCTAACTGTGTTGCCCAGTCTGGTCTTGAATTCCTGGTCTCAGGCAGTCCTCCTGCCTCAGCCTCCCACAGTGCTGGGGTCATAGTTGTGAGCCACAGTACCCAGCCAAACTCCAGTTTTAGATAAATTGTTTCCCCTCATTTTTATGCTGAATTTTGTTAAGTAGGTACTCTTGCTAAACAGAGTCCTTGCCTGGGCGCTGTGGCTCACGCCTGTAATCCCAGCACTTTGGGAGGCTGAGGTGAGTGGATCACAAGGTCAAGAGTTCAAGACCAGCCTGGCCAACATAGTGAAACCCTGTGTTTACTAAATATAGAAAATTAGCCAGGCGTGGTGGCACGCACCTGTCATCCCAGCTACTCAGGAGGCTGAGGCAGGAGAATTGTTTGAACCTGGGATGCAGAGGGTGCAGTGAGCCGAGATTGCATCACTGCACTCCAGCCTGGGCGATAGTGAGACTCTGGCTCAAAAAAAAAAAAAAATAAATAAAACCATAGAAGTAATAGGAAGTCCTGTAAGCGGTTGAGAGAAAAAGTGTTACCAGTAGCAGTTAATTAAATGAACCCAGGAAAGATCCGTCCTCCCCTGTGGCTTTCTCTGAGGCCCCATGAGGCCAAGCAGAGCAAACTGGCTCCTAGTCCAACCAGACTTTGAAAAGGAATCCTGGCTGGGCGCAGTGGCTCATACCTATAATCCCAGCACTTTCGGATGCTGAGGTGGGAAGATCACCTGAGGTCAAGCGAGACTAGACTGGTCAACAGGTGAAATGCTGTTTCTACTAAAAATATAAAAATTAGCTGGGCGTATCTGGGCACAGTGGCTCACGCCTGTAATCTCAGCACTTTTGGAGGTTGAGGTGGGCAGATCACAAGGTCAGGAACTCAAGATAAGCACCTGACTAGCATAGTGAAATTAACTGGGCGTGGTGGCACACACCTGTAATCCCACTACTCAGGAGGCTGAGGCAGGAGAATGACTTGAATCTGGGAGGTGGAGGTTGCAGTGAGCTGAGACAGCACCAGTGCTCTCCAGCCTGGGAGACAGTGACACTGTCTCAAAAAAAAAAAAAAAAAAAATCCCAACCAGGTACTACTGCAAGGTGCAAAGTCAGAGATGCAGCCACCGGGGAGATTGGTAGAAAGCTCACTGATACTGAAAACATGGGTTTTTAGGAAAATTAGAATTAAGTGAGCCACCTTTCATTTGGGCAATGTTCAGAAGCTCTTGCAGGGAGGTATGGCAACATTTTGATGCCTCTTATTCATGCTTTTTTTTTTTTGGAGGGGTGGAGACAGAGTCTTGCTCTGTCGCCAGGCTGGAGTGCAGTGGCACAGTCTTGGCTTACTACGGCCTCTGCCTCCTGGGTTCAAGCAATTTGTCCACCTCGGCCTCCCGAGTATCTGGGATTACAGACGCGTGCCACCACACCCAGCTAATTTTTGTATTTTTAGTAGAGATGGGGTTTCACCATGTTGGCCAGGATGGTCTTGATCTCTCGACCTCGTGATCCACCCACCTCGGCCTCCCAAAGTGCTGGGATTACAGGCATGAGCCACCGTGCCCTGCCATTCGATGCTTGTTAGTCTTCTGAGGTTAACACCTTTGTGGTGGACATCGGGAGTAACAGATCGTTGCATTTTTCAATAAAAAATCTCTTCCACTTCAGGCAGAAGGCACTCACAAAAACCGCATATACATGTCAGCATTGTGAGCTAATCAAAGTTTTAGGTATCAGCTTCCACAGTGACAGCCACTGTAGGCAGAAGGTTTAGAACAGAATCCCCAGGTAGAAAAGTGAATTTCAGAGCATTCCAGGGAGGAAACTCCTCTGCACATGTGGGCCTGTTTAATGTTGATGGCAGGTTGTGTGCTTGGCAGCCAGAGTCTGAGGCCACTGTCAATCCAAGGTTCAGCATCAGTGGTTCCCGTTGCTGGTCGTGGAGAGAGAGAAGTGGAAAGGCAGGTGTCTGCACGCTCTTAACTAGAGCACAGATGGATAGACCATAGCCGCACTAACCTTTCTTAACCCCTAGGACTTGTCAAGGTGTTTAAGCAGTAGGAATGAGGAAACAACCTTCTGATTCAAGTAAGTGTAGTAACTGGAAGTAAAAACTTGTAAGCTCACTAAAGTGAAGCTAAACAGACAGTTCACATCCTGGTAACTGAGGGCACATAACCAAGAACTTAGATATCTGAGTACCCCCTAGCCACGAAGATCCCAGCTCTAGCAGCTGTTTAAGTGTTACCTGCAGGTCAGGCTGCTGTTGCTCCAGGTGACATGGTTCAGGGATGGAGGGGGTGACCTGCCAGCACTGGAGCCAAGCCTTGCAGCTGCTGATCCAAAGTTAGCTCACTTCATCAGAGGCTCCGAACCAGAGGAAAGAAACATCCCAGTGCAAGGCCAGTGTGAGCCAAGATTTGGCCATGTAATCAGTTCTGGCCTAACCAGGTTTGAAAAGTAGAGGAACGGTACTGGGTTTTGGAGAGGGAAGACTGGAACAGACCCTTTCACAGGCTACAAGGCTCATTTACTAGGCACAGTCTTTCTGTGTGAATGTGCCTTGCCTTTGGTCTGTTCATATGCGTGGGATAAACATGGGACAGTCTCTGCAGCTTCACTGCCTGCCAGACACATGTCCAGGGCTGCCAGTTCTGGGCCCTTGGTGTCTTTAAGGGTCACAAACTGAATTGGCCACAGGGGCTATCTGGGCAGGCAACACAGATGAGTGGGGATGGGTGACCCCTTCTGCACAGAGAAGCCCCTAGTCAGTGGCAACTGGCAGGCTGCCCCATGAGGACTCAGGCCCATCATTACCTAATTTAATCTTCTAGCAGTCAGAATTCTGAATTTTTATGTGAATTCTCAACTTTTAAATGTTTGCGGCAGACCAAACCAGACACAGCTGCAGGATGCGTCTGGCACACAGGGCTCCCAGTTTGCAGTCTCTGATCTGCAGGCTGAAAAACGGCAAGAACTATCCGGGTCCCACAGACACCCCCAGCCAAATTTGTGAGGCCTTAAGGGGAGGAGGCCTTACATACCTGACTGGAGAACAGGCCTGAGAACTGCAGTGTTCCTGCTTCCTACTCTGCTTTAGAGGAGACAGCAGAGAGAAAACCAGAGGTCTTTAACTGGAAGCAAGAGTTGCCCTTCAAAGAGTCCCAGGTAAGAGTCAAAGATGAGATCACTCCGGTGGCTCAAGAAGGGAAAAGGATTTATTAGACTATTTCCAGGATAGGGACCCAGGGCAGTGGCTGGGTTCAGTGTTCTCACAGTCAGAGGAAGAAAAGGCAGTGGTGAACACCCGCCTGTCTGCCTTCCCCTGATACAAACGACACCATCTCCTCCTCCCCCAAAGGAAGATACAGCCATAGATGTGAACCTAGGAGGGTGGGAATGGCTTCTCTTACTCTCTGTCTTTGAGGCAGAGTTTGGGCTGGGGCTGCAGGGGCATCAGCCAGTCTGCTCTCAAGGAGCAAAACTTGGGTGTAAAAGGAACGGCGCTGGAGCCTGACCGGCCGTCTAGAGGTTTGGGCAACCCCGCAGCATGGCTGCTCCCATTCCTTGATGCTTCCAGGTGATTTTATCTTTATTTATAAACAAGACAAAAATCCAAGCAGCATTAATTTAGGGGAACAAAAGATGGGAGAAAAAAAAGGGGGTAGAAGTAGCTGGTGAGCATCCAGGAGAGGAGGAAGTAGGAAGAGCCAGTGTCCACCATGTGCCCCGGGGTGGCAGAGTGCCTCTGCAGCTGCAAAGCCCTTCTTTCCAGCTCCCTGGTGGGTGGCCAGACAGTAGAGGGAATTCTGTAGTGACTTTGGGACAAGCCTTGGCGCCCTGTCTGGCTGCTGACATGGGGAGTGCCTGGATTTGCCCTAATCAACCTCCCACCTTCACCATCGCCCAAGTGAAGCAGCTTTTAACTCTCCTGGCCAAAGTCCTCTGAGAATTTCTTCACTTTCAGGAGGTCGTCTGCATTCACCGTGGGCCGGGTGGTAGCCAGAGACCGCAGCATGTCCGACTGCAAAGGCAAGAGCATGCAACTGAGCAGGCTCCAGGCTCCAGGTCCACAACTTCCCCACATCACACCATGCAGTTGAGGGTGGGAAGAGGCCTGCCTCTGAGGCCATCCCAGCGGCCAGTCTCCCTCCAGAGGCCTGCTTGAGTGTACCTATGGCAGGGACCTTTTTCCCTCTCAAGTCAGCTGAGATCATTTTCAGATGGGCCTCCTCCCGATCTGAAAATCTAAGTTCCATCATCTCATAACTCCCTTTAGGAGCTTGGTTTTTTTCTTTTTCAGAAAATCTCACACAGGCTGGAGTGCAAGGTGCGATCTTAGCTCACTGCAACCTCTGCCTCCTGGGTTCAAGCAGTTCTCCTACATCAGCCTCCCGACTAGGTGGGATTACAGGCACACGCCACCCGGCTAAGTTTTGATGGGGTTGCATCATATTGGCCAGGCTAGTCTTGAATTCCTGACCTTGTGATGCCCCCACCTCAGCCTCCCAAAGTGCTGGGATTACAGGCATAAGCCACCATGCCCAGCCTGGAGACTGGTTTTATTCTGGACCCAAGACCCCAATTTTCTGGGCTGTGTGCAACACTCTCTCCCAGCTGGTTACTTACCATGCAAACTACAGGCTCTAAGAGTTTGTCCCCAGGAACGTCCATCCAAGTCATCTCCATGGCCCCGGGGTCCCCTGGTGAGCATGGAGTCAGGAGGTCATCGATCATCATGCTGGGATTGGTGCGGGAGGGGCCGCAGACCTGAAACCAAACAGATCTGACTGGCTGGAGCAGCTGCCCCTCAGTGTCAGAGGGGCTAAACCTCTCCAGTCTCTAAGGAGGTCTCAAAGAGAAGGCCCTTTGGGTCCCCAGCATCTGAGGAGAAGGGGTGCACTCAGAACTTGGTCTGGGTGGTCCCAGTGACTCATGATTTGCATGCAATTTCAGCAACCTGAAACCCCAATGCCTTGATGTCTTCCTCGTTAACACTGTCGCGTCTCGCCAGGAACGCGGTGACATTAAAAGTGATAATGGTTTGGTGATGCCCCCACATGCATCTCAACTTGGATTGTATCTCCCAGAATTCCCACATGCGGGAGGGACCCAGGAGGAGGTAACTGAATTAAAGGGGCTGGTCTTTCCTGTGCTATTCTTGTGATAGTAAGTCTCGAGAGATCTGATCAGTCTATCAGGGGTTTCTGCTTTTGCTGCTTCCTCATTTTCTCTTGCTACCACCATGTAAAAAGTGCCTTTTGATTCTGAGGCCTTCCCAGCCTCAGTTATGTCTTTATCAGCAGCATGAAAATGGACTAATAGAAAGTGGTTTTCCAACTGCAGTCTGCTGCCTCGACAAACATTTCCCCCAGTGTCCACAAGGCTCATTCCCTCACCCTTTACCTCCTGTCTCAAGCATCACCCCAGCACCACCTGCCCTTCCCTCCATGCTCCATACACCCCTCTCCTGATGCTCCCCCTCCCTATTCCCCTCTGAGAAACTCAGACTGTGTTGATCACTGACTGTGTTGTCTCCCCACCAAGAACAGAGGGTCCTGGAGGGCAGAGTTTTTGTCTATTGGTAGCTCATGTCTTCCCAGCAGTTAGGACAGTCCTAACTGGCATGGGAGGACCCACAGCAAACAGTCAACAGATCTGCTGAACAAATGGATGCATCTTGCAGGTCATAATATATCCAACACTTTTCTAAACACTGACTTGGTGTCTGCCCAGAGGCTACAGCAAGGTTAAGACAGGAAAGAGGCCCTGTCCTCTTGCACATACCCTGAGATGGCCACATTCCAGAAGGTCTGCAGGGAGGGGACAGTGGGTGCAGCCCCCATGGCAGTTGCTCTCGACTCTAGGAGGCCTCAGAGACTGGGTCACCTGAGCAGCCGGGGAACAGGACCAGGAGCTCGACAAAAAGCCCAACATCCCGGTCTTGCTATGACATTTTCTCAGCAGGCAGCACACTCACCTTTTTGAAGTGTGTGGCTGACTGCACCTTCCTCACGGGCTGCATGAGGGAGTCCCGCACGATGATGCTGATGTCTGCGCCCGAGTAGCCTTCGGTCTTCCGGGCCAGCTCGTGGATGTTTGCATCTGTGAGGTTGTGGGGGGTGCTCCCCAGATGCAACCGGAACATCTGGGCGCGGGCAGCTTCCTCTGGCAAGGGGATGTAAATTCGCTTCTCAAACCTAGAGAGCCCAGTACATGGCAGGAGTTGAGAGCGGATGATGGAATGGTATTCATGGAAGGGGAGGCATGGAACGAAGATTTGAGTGACACAGACGCACTTCATGGGCCAGTGATGCTGGTGGCACATCTCTCAACAAGCTGGCCTCACAAAGGGCTCTGCTTGGCAGGCAGATGGGAAGAGGGGCCAGGCTGCACCTGGGCTGCCTGCAGCAGACAGATCATGACGATGGTGGTGAAGAAGGGAATTAAATGATAACAGTAGTAGTCTGTAATTGCTGCATAATAAAGTTTACTGTGTTGTGTTCAATATAAAACCTAACTCCCTGTAAAACCTAACTTAAGTATTCTCCCCACATTCTCAGCAAAGTTCCTAGGCATCTCAAGACTCCTGTTTTTCTTGCTGACCAGCTGCAAGGTCACAGGGCAAGGTAACACCCAAAGAATGTACAATGTGTTTCTTAAAATGCTATTTTTCAAATGTACATCACAAAACATGTTACAAATTAACTGTTCTTCTGTAAACCTGTTAGCTGCTGTGTGTCATCCTGGATGTATAAAAAGTAGCCCATTTTCTTTGTCCTTTGCTTAGTTTTTGGATGCCAGTCCACTGAGCTGGTGCACCTAAATAAAATCCTCCTGTTCCACCCATTGGTCTCTCTGGTCTCCTGATACCTGGAACAGTAGGAGGAAGCCTCCAGACCTGGCAGCTCCTGGGGAAGACTCACCTCCAGACCTGGCAGCTCCTGGGGAAGACTCACCTCCTCCTGATGGCTGAATCCAACACCCATGGGATGTTTGTGGCTCCGAGAACCAGAGTCCCGTCGTTGTTATTTCCCACTCCTGTGGAGAAAGGGAGACACAGATGCAGACTCAACACCTGCATGGGTCAGTCGAAACCTGGGACAGACCCTGGAGGCGCTGCGTGTCAGCACTGAAGTCATCCCTGCGCCATTCACCACTGGGGGGGTCCCAAGTGAGATTAAACCATGTCCTGGTCTGGCTTTGCCATGTGAGGAGGCCTACGGCACTGCCTGCCACGGAAGGGGTGGAGAGGCCAGCATGGCAGAGGCCTCAGGTGCCTCTTGGGAATGGAAGTCCACCTGTGGCCTGAGAAGCTGGAGCTGGGGATGCCTCTCCCCAGCTGAGGACAAGAAAATCCAGCTGCAGCTCAGAACAAAGCCTGGGGCTGGCTTTAGGTGCAACAAGAACCAAGGGGGCCCAGTGCCTGGCACATACCCTGCATCTGGACCAAGAACTCCGTTTTGATCCTCCGGGCAGCCTCGCTCTCATTTTCATTTCGGGATCCACAGAGGGAATCCACCTCATCGATGAAGATGATGGAGGGCTTGTGCTGCCTGGCCAGCTCAAACAGGTTCTTGACCAGCCTGTGAAGGTGAGAAAGGGGATGAGGATGGGATGCTCCTGTCCCTGCCCGCCTGGGCTCCTGGCACTTCCCTTTCCCCACCCTTCCCACGGGGAAGCACAGGCCATGGTGGTGCCAGGATTGCAGAAACATGGTGATGAGCCCCCAGGCAGCATTGTACCAGGAAGAGGAGCACGCCTTGGCACCACCCCCAAACGCGGAGCCCCAATCCTGGGAGCCCCATCCTCCAAGCCCGTCTTATCACATGCAAAACAGGAGTCAGTGTGGGGAACAGGGACCCCTACACACTGCCTCAACAGGGACCACAACACAGACTCCCAAAATATCCTCGCTTCCTCTCCCCTCCCTTTTGGAGCACTTCACTTCTCTCAGGTCCCATCATCCTTCACCTGTCTTTGTTGGGACAGCGTCCCAGCCAATAAGCTAGTGACACACTGCTCCTAGGTACCCTCCCTGAAGAGCAAACCGTTCCTCTGGCATTTGACTCCACGGGGCTGGGCCACTGGACCAGTAGCAGTGCCGGGGCTGCCGGCAGAGCATGGCCTAGTGGCCAACTTACTTCTCACTCTCCCCGAGCCACTTGGACATCAGATCTGAGGAGGACACGGAGAAGAAGGTGGAGTTGTTGGCCTCTGTTGCCACAGCTTTGGCCAGGTAGGATTTCCCTGTGCCAGGTGGTCCGAACAGTAGAATCCCCCGCCAAGGGGTGCGCTTGCCTGCAACAGAGAATCCACAGAACTG